TTGAAAGGGTTCAGGACTACGCGGGCGCAACAATTACATTGATTCGCTGCGTTGAAGTCCCAGGAACGGCGTTCCGGCACGATTCAGGATCGTCAACACGCAACAGTCAAGTTGATCCGTGGCGTTGGAATCCCGAGATCAATGTTTTGACATGCTGCAGGGTCTTCAAAAGGTTGTCTTCCAACAAAGCAGTTATTCCAATTGATATGAACCGTTGTAGGGGCCCGTGAAAAAGGAGCTTGGAGGGAGGGTTAATTCGAACATCGTTGATGACCCGTGCGTTTACACACGTCCTCCTCCTTCTCCTCCTTCTCGTCCTCCTCCTCCGCCATCCAATTTCCTTTATAGCTGGCTCATCTCTGTCGCACACCCAGGCGTGTTGGTAGGGCGGGCCGGGCGTTTTGCCGAAGACTTCCTCACGGCTTATGGTCCTGAAACGTAAAACATGCAACCTTCTCGCTGATGGAGGGCGGGTGGTTTTGAAAATGTGGATCTCGCCTCAGCGCTGCGCGCATTCGTTGTTAAGTTCGCATTGGTTTCGCGGATAGAGGGCGAGTCGTGTTCGAAATGTGGCTCTCGCCTCAGCGCCGCGTGAGGGCGCCTCCATTTCCAAATGTGTTTTTTGCCTTAGCGCCGCGCAAACTCGTCTTAAAATATTGCAAGAGCTTCACGGACGGATGGCGGCTCATTTTCAACATGTTGCTCGTGTCTTGGCGCCGCGCGCATTCGCATGAAAAACCTGCAAGAATTTCACGAATGGAAAACGGGTCCTTTTCAACATGTGTTTTTTGCCGGAGCACCGCGCACATTCGTTGTGAAGATTGAGAACGCCTCGACGGGTTCTTATGTTTGGCCGTCCCAAGAATGGCGTCCTGGTGCGACTTAGAACCGTCACGGCGCAACAGTAACGTTGATTCGCAGTGTTGCAATTCCAGGGATGACGTTCTGGCGCGATTACGGATCGTCACGACGCAACATTCAAGTTGATCCGCGGCGCCGAAATCAAAAAAGTGGTGAATTGACACGATTGAGAATTATCAAAACGGTTGCCTGCAAGCGGAGCACTTCCAGAAGTGGAAACAAATCTTTGCAGTGGCCAGTGCAGAGAGCATGGAGGGAACGTTTATTGCATCATCGCTTACGAGTCTTGGGTTTACACTTGGTCTCCTCCTCTTCCTTCCTCCTTTTTCTCCTCCCTTTTCCTCCTCTTCCTTCCTTCTTTCTCCTCCCGATCCTCCTCCTCTACCACCCGTGGCAGCCATCAACACCTTGCACAACTTTACCGACCTCGACACTCCTGTCTTTGTCTTTTCCGGTTCTCTCTACCTCATTGTGTGTCCAACGCCTGCCGCTGATTTGTCATTCGTCATTAGCTGCTGCGTCTGCTGCGGTAACCGTTCTGTGTTTCTAGTCGTTGTAGCTAACATCGTTCTGGCCGTGTCCCATAGCCGTTGGATTGGTAAGGTGGCCCGTGAGAGCGTGGAGTGGTTGAAGGTCACAACCCCTCTGCACTTGCCTGTTTGCTGACTCCTTCGTTCAATCATGCCAACTAGTGGACATTCCTCCCTCCCCCCTTCCTGCTCCCGGTTGCGGGATAACGTTGGGAGGGAATGGCTCAGGAAACGAGGGCGAGGACGAGGAGAAGGACGAGGAGGAGGACGAGGAGGAGGGGGGTGGTTTGGCTCAGGGGGGAAACATCGACCTGCAATCGGCGATATATCGCCGATGCATCGGCGGTGGGCCCCTGGATAGCGAGACTGCACTTTCCTGGGCGGGGCGGGCTGTCAGGCCCCTGTCGGCGGTCAGTGGGCGATCGGTCGGGGGTCGACGCGCCCCCCCGGAGCCTACCCCCGTCCCAGATGGTTTGCGGTTGGGCCTCGCGCAATGGGGGGGGCGACAAATGGGGGGGGCAGCGAAGGCTGTAGGAAAGGGGCCCTTCAGGGCCCAGAAGGGGGCCTTCAGGCTCTGAAAAGGATGCTTTTCTCCACCCCCGTCTTCAATCTCTGTTCCCTTATTTGATGGCATCCAATTGGGGCCATTATTCTGGCAGGGGAGCGTCCCGAGGCAGGAAAACCGCCGAAAACCGACGAACCCGACGGAATACCTCGAACGCCGTCCGAAACGAGCCTCCCCTACCCTACCCTAGCGCTTACAGGTCCCGATCCCTTCCCTGGGAAAAAGGCTCCGTGCGAATCCATTGTTGATGGTCCTGGGGCCCGATGACGTGCCCCAAGAAGCCGAAATGGAGGCAAAACGACCGCATTCGAAAAACCATCTCGTCGGAGATCCGGGAAACGCTGCCCCAGAAGAGCCCAGGGGCGTTGCCCTTGACCCTTTCGCCCGAATCGGCTCACGTAGCTGGCTCTCCCGGCGCCTCCCAGCGCCATGAGTCCCCATGCGTCGAAAAACGCGCCTGGCATAAGGGTCGAAACCATCTATGTGCAGCATTTTCGGCCCCCTGACCCAGCCCCGACGGCATGTATTGTTTCATGACGTGGCCCCCCATCGGCCTGGACACATTCCCTTGCGCCGGCTTTTCATCCCGAGCATTTTTTTGACTGCCCCGAAACTCGGTAAAGCATGGCAGAAACTGAAACATAGCAAATTACTCAGTCCGTGGAGCTACCCACATGTGCATCGCAAGTTTTATGTCATTCCACCGCGAGCGTCTGTTCATGAGCGCTTGACTATAATAGCGCGTCCACATGGGCGACAGGGCCGACGAAGACGAGTGAATCCTAATGCGAGTGAGTGCGTATGAGCCAGAGTAAGCTTTGGTATGATTGACTATGAGCCTCCCATGCGCTCCACCTCCTCAGCTGCCAGGCCGTGCCGTCCTCAGCCTGTGGTAATGCGCGTATGTTTTAGGATAGCTGGCAGTGGGATCTGTAAAACGAGCGTTTAGCCACACAAGGCCATATGTGCATATCATATTGTAGGATAGTGCCACGGCGAGCATTTGTCCACGATAGGTGTTTGCTCCACGAACGCGCCCAGGGGACCAGCACGCCTCGATTCCTTCCTCCGTGCGTCCAGAAGGTTACGTGCCGGAGCACGACCTAAGTGACCACCACGCCTCGACAGAAGGTACGTGCCGGAGCACGACCTAAAAGACCAACGCGCCTCGACTCATTCCTCCGTGCGTCCCCACATGTACGTGCCAGAACACGACCCAAGGGACCAGCACGCCTCGACTCATTCCTCCGCGCGTCCCAGAGGGTACGTGATGGAGCACGACCCAAGGGACCAGCACGCCTCGACTCCTGCCTCCGTGCGTTCCAGAGGGTACGTGCCAGAGCACGACCCAAGGGACCAGCACGCCTCGACTCCTTCCTCCGTGCGTCCTAGAAGGTAGGTGCCGGAACACGACCCAAGGGACCAGCACGCCTCGATTCCTTCCTCCGTGCGTCCCAGAGGGTACGTGCCGGAGCACGACCCAAGGGACCAGCACGCATCCTCATCTCCTTCCTCCGTGCGTGCCTCCCCCTCCTACTCCTTGCGCCAGCAAGCCAACTGGCAACCACAACCCCCAAAGAAACCCAGCGCGTAGGGGGTGCTGAAACCAGCGCCCAGCCTCAGACGCCCTCAAAATCTGCCGCGAAAGCAAAGGATGCCGGGCCACAAAAAAGCCAAACCGCTTGAGACATCTCCACAAACTGGTCCAAACGGGCCCGTGAAAACACTCCTGGCGGCGCCCCTTAGGTGTGCTGAAACCAGCGCCCCGCCTGAGACATCCTCACAAACTGCTCCGAAAGCAAAAGATGTTGAGCACCGAAACAGGCAAACCGCCTGAGACATCCCCACAAAATGGCCGCGAACGGGCCCGTGCAAAAACCCCTGGCGGCTCCCCGTAGGGGTGTGAAACCATCGCCCCGTCTGAATCTGCTCTCCAAGCGAAGGATGTCGAGCACCGAAACAGGCAAACCGCTTGAGACATCCCCACAAAATGGCCGCGAACGGGCCCGTGCAAACACCCCTGGCGGCTCCCCTTAGGGGTGCTGGAACAAGCGCCCCACCTGAGACATCCTCACAATCTGCTCTCCAAGCGAAAGATGTTGAGCATCGAAACAAGCAAACCGCTTGAGACATCCCCACAAAATGGCCGCGAACGGGACCGTGCAAACACCCGTGGCGGCTCCCCTCAGGGGTGCTGGAACCAGCGCCCCGCCTGAGACATCCTCCAAATCTGATGTGTGTTGAGTAAATCAAACTATGAGAAGGTCTGAGTATGAGTAGGTCTGAGTATGAGTAAGTATGGGTATGAGTACGTATGGGTATTAGAAAATCTGAGTATGAAAAAGGTCTGTGCATGAGTAAATATGTGTACGCGTACGTCTGGGTATGAGTCTGAATATGCGTAAGCCTGTGTATGAGTAAGTATGTGTATGTGCACATCTGGGTATATGAATAGGTCTTAGTATGAGTAAGTCTGTGTGTGAATAAGTCTGGGCATGAGTAAGTCTGAGTATGAGTGAGCCCGAGTAGGAGGAGACGAGAAGAGGGGACGATAAGAGGAAGGAGAAGGAGGAGTAGGAGGCGTCCAAGTAATACCAACCCCATCTTAGGATATGGGGAAGCAACTCCCCTTTTACTTTTTCATGGCCCGGGGGGTCTGGGGAGTCAACCGCCCCCCAAACTTGTCGGCGCGTACAAGTGAGTGGGGGAAAAAGGACACGCTTCTTGGAAGGAGGCTGCTTCTTAGAAGGCGCCGGCCCTACATCTATAGATGAGGCCCGCACCGTCTCACAAGCAGGGGTGATCCTAAGAAACCCTCCCCCCTCCCCCTAACCTCAAAGGGTCTGGAAACAGAAATTCATTCCGTGGGAGGACGAGGGAGAGGATAGGGAAGGGCGAGGAGGGAAGGACAACTTCCATTGCCAGTCGAAAAGTTGTGGGGAGTGGGGGGGCGGCACTGGTAGCACTAAAGACCTTCTGAATCTGCCCCCCGTCTGGACGTGGCTGGCCAACGCTGCCCTGGGGCCCCTTTGCCCGACCCGCGCCTGGCCCCCGCCGCGCCTCGGGCGCCGCGCGCCCTGCCCCTGCGGGCGCCCCCGCCGCGCCGCCGCGCCCGGGCGCGCCGCCCCGAGCAGCGGCGCCGAGGGGCCCTGGCGAACGGGGCCTCCTCGCGGAGGCGGCGAGGCGGGGAGTGTTTCCCGAAGTCTCTCGCGCCTCGCGAGCCAGGAAGAGGTCGTTGGGCGTCGACCGCTCCTCTCCCCTCGATCCTCGGGAGGAAGGAAGGGGGGACGGCCGGAACGGAGAAAATGAAGGCCCAGCTGGGGGTCCGAGGGCCCCCGAAACCCACGCGGTCTTGCAGCTCGAAACAAAAATGTGCCGACTAGGGGGGGGGGCCACACGTGCTCGCGTCGTGAACAAACATTCGGACGGGAGGGTTGTTGACAATATCACCAGCCTTTCACGGCGTAGGTCGTCTAGAAAGTTGTCTCTTCCAGCCCCCTTCTTCCCGTTCGGGGAGGGATTTATCAGTGTTCCCATGTTCGTTTGCAGCCCCTCTCCCAGGCGACCAGCAGCCAACCAGGAACAATGCCGACCCGATGCTAACCATCCCCAACCTTCCCTGTCAAAAAAAACAAACCAGCCTCACTCTGCCTGCAGATTCGGAACATGCGCGACCAACACGATGCGGTCCCCACACCACCCCTGTCAGAAAAACGATGCACAGTATACGTTGGGGCAAATTCTTGAATCATGTTCGTGAGGCCCACGAGCACTTTGTTTTACGTGTTGCCAAGGGCGGCGGGGGTGTCAGCATATTGCCTGCTTTGCGCAGGGCCACCATCCCTATCGGAAAAACAAAAACAACATGCACCTCGCGGTTAAATCTGGATCGTGCGCGGCCACCCCGCGATCAGTCAATCGGTTTTTGCCAGGGGCTGCGGGGGTGGTGGTGTATGGCCTGCTGTGCGCAGGCCCGCCAAACACAATGATGGGTATTGGTTTTCGACGAGGATGGTGAGGGCTGGCATGTTTCCTGATGTGTGCTGTCACGTGTGCAGGTGCACCTGGGTCGCGCACGTGGGTCCGGTTTGGTTCCCAGTAGCTTCCCACCCGAAGACGGCCGCTTGACATGCTGAGGCTCGGGTGTTACTTATGTGTTGGGGGGGCGGGTGGGAATGAGCTAGACGGCTTGCTATGTAGAAGGGTGTCTTGACCCCTCCCCTGACCCCCTCCCCTGGACCTGGAGGGGGGGTTCCGCGAGGCGCTGGAGCGTCCAAGATGGCCCAAGACGGCTCCAATAGGGCCTCAACGAGCCCATGATGACCTTTTATCAACTACATCGTCGCCAATCGACAGCACCCCCCATGCATTATATAACACCAAAAACTGTCGTAGCACCAGGCGTGTCCGCAGGCATTTGGGCCTCCGGCTCGACAGCGCTTGCGAATCGGCCGCTGCATCACAAGCCTTCTCACAACCAGTGCCCTTCAAAGGAACGCCTAGTGAACCGGGTGCAACCCATAAGCCGACCTGTGGTATGCAAACTCAGGAGGTGAACCGTTGTCAGAAAGAGAGAGAGAGAGAGAGAGAGAGAGACAACAAAAAAAAACGAGCGGGTGAGAGGGGACGACCCCCCTCCCCCTGCGCCGGCCGTAGGCCAAAGGAAACGCGCTCCTGGGTGGCACAACCACATCGCGAACCAAACGCTCGCAAGGCAAATTGGGACACCGCACAAGCCGACCTGCGAGAGGCAAACTCACGCAGTGACAGGTGACCTGACCAATAAATCTACAATGCATGTGCGACAGGAAAGAGGGGGCAGAGGAAGACGCCGAGGGAGGAGGAGGAGGGGGAGGAGGAGGAGGAGGAGGAGGAGGAGGAGGAGGAGGAGAAAGAGAAAGGACTGCAACGGCCGCGCCTGCACGGGCGCACGGCCGGACACCTCGGGCGGCGGGCGGCCTCCGGGCCCGAGAGAGGATGGAGGCGACAGGGAGGAGGAGAGGAGGACGCTGGGGGGCGGAGGGAAAGGGCCGCAAGCGGGCAGGCAAGCAGGGGGGAACGGGGGGAGCACGGCCGCGGGGCGTGAGTCACCTGACCCCGCTGGTTAGGCGCGCGTGCTGGGGTGGGGCGGGCGGGGGCGGGCCCGCGCCTGCGGGGGCGGGCAGGCCAACGCCTTAGTCTTCACCCCCGCCGGGCCAGCAGGCCTGGACGTGGGCGGCCGCCCGGCGGCGCAGCGCCCCGCCCGCCACGCTGGCCAGGCGGCGGTACCGCCGCGCCCCGTCCGAGCACCCCCTCCGCTGGGCAAGGCGGGTCGCGAGTGTGCGGAGGATGGATGTCGTCCGGGGGTGGGGCCGCCCGTAGACTGACCAGACGAGCAGCTGGTACAGGATGTTCTGACGGTCCCTCCAAGATGGCTCAAGATAGCCTAAGATGCCTCAAGATGGCTCCCAAGATGCAAGAGGCACCAAGAACGCTCCAAGACGGCTCCAGGGTGCCTCCGTGACTTCCCAGGAGGCCGCCAAAATGCCAAAATTCATCAAACACCTTAGGAACATCAATGAATTCTGCCTTCTCGACTTTTCGCTTCCGATGGCCTTCCGAGGCCTCGGCACAGCTCCAAGAGGGCCCTATGGTGGCCCCAAGAGAGGTTCAAGAGAGCCCCAAGACGGCACCAAGAGCGCCCAAGCGAGCTCTGAAAGCTCCCCAAGCTGCGCTCAAAAAGCGATTTTTGGGGCTCCCGAGGGGGGGTCGAAATTGGAGCTCCCATCTTTTTTGATCGATCTCCTCCAAGATGCCTCAAGAGCGCTACCGAGGCTCCCAAGAGCGCCTCAAGAGGGCCCCAAGAGGCGGCCAGAAGGCCCGAAGAGGCGCCCGAGATGCCTCTAAGAGGCTCCCAAGATCCCCCCCGGAGGCCCCAATAGGCTCCCCGAGTCACCCAAAACGCTCGAAGAGACGCCCAAGAGAGCCCCAAGTGGCCCCAAGAGCGCCAAAGAGTGTCCCAAGAGCGCTCCAAGAGGGACCCTTCCTCTGTGTGCTGCCCACTTCCCTGATCGAGGCAACTCCTCAAGGCATCCTCTCTGCATGGGCTGGTGGGGTTACGGGAAGCGTCAAGAGTTTTCAATCTCTGGGGGCCCTTATCGGGCACTGGGAACGTCAACCCAAACCAATCGAAACGAAACAAAATGCCTTGGAATGGGTCGTGACCTCCGGGGGCCGACGTATCGAAACCATCAAGACGTCGCATGTCTTCGTTGGGTCCTCGTTCTGAATCCGCAGCGCCGCGCGTCTCCTTGCTCCTCCTGCTCGTCCTGCTCCTCCTCCTCCTCCTCCTCCTCCTCCTCCTCCTCCTCTTCCTCCTCCTCAAACTCCTCCTCCTCGTCCCGCCGGTACCGACCGTCGCGCCTGCGTTCGCCGGTTCTGCTGATTGAAAATGTAGTTGGGTCCTCGTTCTGAATCCGCAGCGCCGCGCGTCTCCTTCCTCCTCCATTCCTTTTTTTGATGAATTACTCCTCCCTGTCGCACCCCGAGGTCAGTGGGCAGGGCGGGCCGGGCGTTCCGCCTTACTTCTTTAGCACTCCTGATCCTGAAGCTTAAGAATCCGCAGCAGCTTCATACATGGAGGGCAGGCCGCTTCCAAAATGCGGCGCTCGCCTGAGCGACGCGCCCATTCGTTTGTTTAAGTTCGGAAAAGCTTCGCGGATTGAGGGCGGGTGGTTTTCAAATCGTGACTCTCGCTTAGCGCTTTGCTTGTCTTACAGCATGTGCAAGAGCTTCACGGATTGAGGGTGGGTTGTGTTCACAACGTAGCTCTCATCGTTGCGCCGCGCACATTCTTTGTTTTCCATCGTTTTTTGGAAGAGATTCACGGGTCGAGGGCATTTCTTTTTCAAAATGTGGCCCTCGCCTCAACACCGCGCGCATTTTTTAATACAAGTATGCAACAGCATAACACTATAAAACTATGAATTTTCAAAATATGGCTCACCCTGTAGCGCTGCGTACATTTGTTTTGCAACATACGAACTTCGCAGAAGGAAGGCTGCTCCTTCTCAAACTGTGGTTATCGCCTCAGCGCCGCGCACACGTCTTGAACAGTTGGAAGAGTTGCACGGGAACTCATGGTCAGCGAACCAGAAACGGCGCTTTGAAACGATTCGGGACTGTCCGGGCGCAACGATTACGTTGATTCGCGGTGCTACAATCTCAGGAATGGCGTTCTGCCGCGATTCATGATCGTCAGCAGCAGGCAACAGTCAGGTTGATTCTTCGCGCTGACATCCCGAGAATTGTGTCTTGGCACGCTTCAGTATCCTCAAACGGTTGTCTCCCAGCGGGGTTCTTCCCTCAATGGAACTGAATCCTTGCAGGTGCCTATGAAAACGGAGCTTGGAGGGAAGGCTTATTCCAACATCGCTGATGAGCCTCGGGTTTACACTGTTCCTCCTCCTCCTCCTCCTCCCTCCCCCTCCTTCTCCCTTTGGGCTAGCGGGCTTTTGACTGCAGGTCTTACTTCCATTCCGTTCCCTTCCATTCCATTCTATTCTATTCCATTCCATTCCATTACATTCCATTCCATTCCATTATGTTCCGTTCCATGATGTTACATTATATTGCATTCCACTCCGTTCCATCCCATCCCATCCTATCCCATTCCATTCCTCCTCTCCTTTCTCCTTCCTCTTCCTGCCCCCACAGGAGACCCCACCTATGGCCGGCCCCAACGGGGGAACCACATGGCGTCGCCCCGTCCACTTCGGCACACCCCTCACACGATTCCCGCCCCCATAGGAGCTTCCCCAAAGATTCCCTCAAAGCTTCGCGCTGCACTTCTTTCACAACGGGCGATTCTGCCCTATTCCGGGTGCCCGGGCCATCACAGATCAATCCGACTCGCAATACTTTGCAGAAATAATGGGTCTAGGGCTCCGGTCGAATTTTTTCGCGAAGTTGCATTTTTCGGAACGTCGGATCTCAGGGTTATCCGTCGCCACCTAGGGCAGCAACTAAACCCAGCCGGGAAAAACTCGGCCAGGCCGAACTTGGCTTTTTTGGCTCGCCCAGGCTGACCTCGGCTGGCTGAACTCGGCATGGCTGAACTCGGCCAAACTGAATACGGCCAAGGCCTAGTTCAGCCTGGCCGAGTTCAGACGCCGAGTTTAGCCTGGCTGAGTCGTTCCCTTGCCCTCGGGGCCGAGGCGGGGATTTGGCCATCGCCACCGGCTGAGGGGTCGATCTTCGGGGACCTCGGCAGGCGGTGGATATGGAG